CATAGTTGAAGTGCGGGTGTTCATGGGATCAGATTAGTCAGTATGGTGTGAAAGGGCGACTGAATATACCAGCCCTGAAGCTGTGACTGACAAATATCCTTTAAGGCTACAGAAGCCTACACCCGGTCTCCCATTTGGTCATGGCGACTCAGAACTTCATAGACTGAAAGGGTTGGAAAGGGAGCAAGTTATGAACTGATCCATTTAAAAATTGCGATGTTATCCTATAGGGAAGGAAAGCATCCAGCCGCTGAAATGGATGGATTTTTGACATAACTCACATTATCAATAATGCTTTTACCATTTGAAAAAAAGAGGAAATTAATTTTCATTTTTATTTAATCCTTTCTTATCAATAGCATGGATTTCTCTAATTTTATTTCAAGCGATCTTAAATGTAAAAGAGAATAAACAAGTGAATTTTTCGTTGTTTTTTTTTTGAAAAAGCCAACATGATTGGGCAGGACAAGGCAGAGAATTTCGTAAGTTTGTCGACCGCGTCGCGGCCGCCCGCTGCATTGTCCTATTTATTGCCCTACCAACCTTATCACTTTATTTATATCACAAATACCTCTGATGATTTAGGGTTTGCATAATCTTTACTCGTTGATTATCAAAAATGCTGGAGTGCCATCGATACCCGAGGAAATGCTTTTGTACACACCCAATTTAATGACATTGGAATTAAGTGGAAATGAGCTTCAATTCGAACCCTACTCAATAAGGACATTACGGTAAGTCTTGTGCTAGTTGATCGCTTTGATTTTTTATTTTTTTTAGATATTTGAAAATTATTTTTGTTCATATTCATTCATTTTTCAGATTCCGAAAGACTTGGAATTCAATATTCTCTTTGTTTTAATATTTTTATTACTTTGAATATATTACTATTCTTGATTTCCCTTGCAGAAGCCTGGTTCAACTGGATCTCAGTAACAATTCGATCACCCTTTTCACAACAGCATTTATACCATTAACAAATCTGACTGTACTGGCTATGGATAACAACAAACTTACCACTATTGATTTCCGAAGGTTAGTCAACCTTAGGCATTACATAAGCCCTAGGAAAATCTCGGAGTAATCAATTTGGGAATATGGGCGGCTTATGGGCCTTTCAGAGAAGAACCAGTTGGCCTATTCATTCCCAGAGATTTTTATACTAATTGTTCTTGGATATAGCACTCATTGTTTACGAAATGGAGGTGGTAAATTTCACAGTTGGCTGAACCACTGAAAATCTGTGGTATTTCCGGAAACAAAGCGAATTTAGTGTAAATATAAAAACTACCATAAAGCAGTGGACAAGCGCTGGCAGACATCCTCAGAAGGATTTGGAATCTTTCTCTTCTGGCTAACTAGAAACTTCTGACTTTCAGGTTGCCAGAATATTTGACAGATCTTTCGCTTCGGAACAACCTCATCGGCACTGTTCATTATGCTCCGGAAAGTGCAAGGTAAACTGTTTGTTCCTACGACCTCATCCATCTTATTAGACACCAAACCCGCTGATGAGCAGCCCTTCTTGAAGATCCTTATTAGGGCTCGATAAGACGTGATATTGCTCTGAGGGCACCTGAAGGTGGCAGAACCTCTCCCAGTCTGTGTCCGTTTCAGAGAGGCTACCGGAAGTTCTCGGCCTCGATCGAAGTTCAAGTTGGGACTTTAAAGGTCTGATCAGTGAATGGGAAGATTAGATGATGCCGATTCAGCTAAGAAGGGGTCACCTGAATAACATACTCATAAGATTGAGCTTATAAGAAAATCTGGTTAGGGAGATTGGAGAGGTGCCAGCTTTTCTCCAAGTTTTAATGAACTTGCGCTTCTTATCACTCCAACCCTCTGCTACTTCCCAATCTGCTATTTGAACCAGTCCTTGATCTAATCATGGAGTTTTCAGGAATCTTAAACGAATCGATCTTGCCGGAAATCTGATGGAATTCGTTGATGGTAATGGACCGGTGAATAAGCTTCCACCTTCAGTGAAGCAAGTCGATGTGTCACGTAACCGAATAGCCTACATCAAGGAGGGTGCTTTCGGACATATGAAAAAGCTGGGCCTTCTCGATCTAAGGTAAGTTCCTTTTTCAAAGCGTAGAACAAGTAAAACTGCTGAAAAGCTGAAGTCTTCTAGTGTACGCTCTACTCGTATAAAGATTTTCCTCAATCAGGGATGGAATATTTAGGTGGAACCTTTTGACAGAATTGAACGAAGACTCCCTGAGCGGCCCACAAAACCAGTTGCGTGTATTCCTTGAAGGCAATCCATTCCGATGTCATTGCGCACTGCGTTGGTTACTCCATGCCAGGCAAAAGGTACTGGACTGACGAACCGTAACCCACCATGCTTTTGAGTACTTTTTAGTACCAACAGTAACTGGAGTTAAATTTTAGACTGCACCGGTTGTTCTCGATCTACCCACTCTCACCTGTACTCAACTGCTGGATGAAAGCCAAGTGCTAAGTTTAGTCAGTGCTGATCGGACGAACCAGTTCACCTGCGAATATGAGACGGTAAGGGCATTACTCATCTCCTTCTACTAACCTTCAATTCTTTAAACGGGGGCACCTACTTCACTACGCTCCTGGGACAGGTGACAGATAAAAGTCTGGAGCCAAACTAGGCGGGGTCTAAGTCATTGGAGGTAAGATGGTAAGGGGAAAGTCAGCAGAAGTGCCAGGACTGCCATAAAAAGTAGTAACTTTCACAAAATGGTTCAGCGCACAATCCCGTCCTGAAAGGCATGGTTGAGCGGTTCAAGTAGGTTGTAGCACCAGATGAAGCTTCATCGTCGCAACGTTTTGGAATTCTCAAACCTTGCGGTCCCTTTCCCTTGTACTTATTTTCCATTTTCAGCTCTGCCCATCGTCGTGCACCTGTTGCGAGGAAAAGTTGTGCTCATGTCGAAGTTCTTGTCCAGCTGAGTGTCATTGCTACAGCTCGGCCAACACTGACAAACGGGTAATTTCGTTCACGCACTGAAAAAAATTACGGATGGTTTTGTGGGAGGGACTTGAGAGGGGGCGGAGTTCATGAGACAATCGAATGGATCAAGTTCAAATCGAAGATCGAATTTCAAGGTTTTCGCTAATCAAATATTAACAAATTCAATGAAAAACGCTATCTTTTTCTGTGCTAGTTTAATTGACCTCCCGGATTCCATTAGCCCACTCTCAGCGTCTTATGATAGCTATGCTTGATTATGGTTAATCTAAGCGAAGCTCGTTTTTCTTGGTTAGGATTCTTTTCAGAATAGCCAGAACACAGTGGTCTGCGATAACCTACGACTGGATCACTTGAGCGACATTCCACACACAACTACCGAGCTACGTATCGATTCGGCCAAATGGAAATCGTGGGATATTGGAAAGTTCCAGGTACATGGTGCATTACACACCGGTCTCTAAGAAACATTTTTCCATTTTCATTCGAGAGGGGTAAGGACCAACGAATTTGGCCTAACTATAGCATACGGAGAGTTAGTGTAAAGTTAATATGCGGAAATTCCATCGATCGTAAATGTAATTGCCCGTGAGTTAGCGTGTTGAGTAAAAAACTCAAAATGTTAGAAAAACTTAGTGGCTGGTAGATTAGGTGAACCCGCCTTCCCTCCCGANTTAATATGCGGAAATTCCATCGATCGTAGATGTAATTGCCCGTGAGTTAGCGTGTTGAGTAATAAACTCAAAATGTTAGAAAAACTTACCAGGGAGGGGTAGTCTACTTATCTTGAAACTTTGAATTCAGACCCAGATAAACTGATAGAGTTTTGAATGCTGTTTACGAAAATGGAAATTAAAACTGCAAAATGATTCTCCTTAAAAAGTGATGGGGGCCCGGATTTCGCTCGACAGTAGTATCAATTGTCTGAAGAAATGTCAGAAAACATTCAGAGAGCCTTTGATAAAATGAAAAAACACTTTGCAAAAGCGCGGACAATGGCGGGGAGGGCCCGTCATTTTACTCCCACAAAGCGAGACCACTACCACTAGGTCACGTGGGCGTTTGATATGGAAGCGACGAGTTCGCATTTCCAATTGATACTACTGTCGAGCAAAATTCGGGCCAACATAACTTTTTAAGGAAAACCATTTTGCAGTTTTAATTTCCATTTTCGTAAGCAGTATTCGAAACTCTATCGATTTATCTGGGTCTGAATTCAAAGTTCCAAGATAAGTAGACTACCCCTCCCTGGTTAGTGGCTGGTAGATTAGGTGAACCCGCCTTCCCTCCCGAACTCATAAGGCGAGGCAATCTTAATCTTTGCGTGAATATTCCTTCATGGACTACTTTCCTCAAAATGTGCTTACCACCAAACAATTTCGGCACCCATGTATTGTCATCAACAGTACTCAATTATCAGAATTGTATCTTAAATAGGAAGGGAGAATCATTTATGATACGTAGTGAAAGTTTTTCAATACCCTGGAGAGTAGAGTTCACAGGAGGGTTCAAGATCTGAGAACTATGTAATGTGCGTAATGTGGTAACTGCTGGGACTGAAAGTGAAGTGAGATTCCGTTGGTCCAGCGAACCAGCATAAGCAGGAGGCTCTCCTCCACACCTATCCCGAATCGCCCATTCCGATCGAGTTTTGATTACGCCCCTCATTATTGGAAAGGATTCGAGACGGTTCTGTAATGAAAACATTGAATGAAAAACCAGAAACGTTCTTTAGAAACTGCACCACCTCACCACTTTGCGAATGTCGAATACACGGTTTTCTGACGAGGAGCTGGTAGGTTACGTTTGTGAGCTTTCTATTTGTTTTTTCAAACTTATTAGTTCATTCGTGGGTCGTAAGTAAGAGGTAGTCGGTAGGTCGTAAGTCAACTCGATAAAGAAAATCACAAGCACCGAAGCATATAGGCAGACATAGGCGCATAGGCTTAGTAATCATGCAAACAACTTCTTTATTCTGAGTGGAAATCTAGTGCATGGCCCGCTTCTTTGGGGCTGTTGGTTAAGCGGAGGTGGAGGATTGAGTACGTGAACTGATTGACCAACTATTTCATCTCTTATATTCTGTGCTGTACTTTTCTGTTACCCTTACTTTGCTGCCTGAGCTGAAAGCTTTTGCAGGAGTCGTTGGCATCCATCAACACATTGACACGTCTCCAACTCAGTTCCACCACAGTCTACAGAATTCCACCGCAGTTTGGTCGCTTCACACATCTACAGCTGGCTGATAATCAGTTGCCTGACCTGACTGCTGACGATATAAAAGTAAGACCACATCCAAAGTAACACTGATATGTAGTTATTACTTATTAAATACGCTGAAAAGGACAAATGTAGATGTAAAAGTATAGTAGTATACAGCCAAAGTGAGTTTGCGCGTGTTTAGGTCCTCAACAGAGTGAAGCGAATTTCTCTTGGTGGTAATTCAAGCAGTTTTACTTGCGACTGTGACTCNAATCGAGACAAGGTATGAAGGGAAGATCTTTTCGTTCGCGGGCATTGGGTGAAGAAAAATTACTAAATGCACTCAACCCTTCCCTAATTTTCCAAGTAAATTTTTATCTTCAGCTTGCCCCCTTGATTTTCCCTCTCTCTAGTATGCCAACAGTAGGATCTCATAAAGGCCACATGACAGTACGGCCCTTTCTGTAAGCTCTCAATTACACTATATTATCGCAGGTTATCATAACCCACAATGAATTATCACACGCTTTGATCGCGTTTAGCACCACAGCAAGTTCCACAACAAGAGGGCGCTTCCTTTGTATGTTATCTATAATCAGCCTGAAACGGATTTTTTCTGGAATTGTCAGTTTGAAATGGTGGTTTCTGCTGTCAGTGTGAAAGCTCCACTTATCACTTACTATCTTATAGGAGTAATTTGGAAATACCTTATCGATCAATCACGTAAGCACAACAATGAATTTGTGAAATGAGGAGGGGAAGGAGGGCCTGGAGAGGAGAGGTGTTGGGAAGAAAAGAGCCATGCGGTTGACAACTTCTGGAATTTCAGGTAGAAGATCTTGATGAGGTCCTCTGCTTTTTACCTTCATTCGGAGTAGTTACAGTCATCTCAACGTTACCATCAAATGGTAAGTCATCCATTATGCTAGGTATCATGAATTACTATGAATTTTCAGAACAACTTTTTTCTTAAACCGTAGGTAGATTCAGATTATAAATAAATAAATAAATAAATAATGGCTCTCTGATTACTTTGGAATTACGTTTGGAGCCATTCCTTCAGTTTAAACTGTTCTCCATCCAAATTCAGTTGTTCAACCCTTGTATAAAGCATTTTATTACATGCCTGGAAGAGTTACTACAATACTGACAGAATTATGATTTAATCGAGTAAATGGATTGTTGATGAAATCCCTAAATGAACGTTTTGCCCAGATTCCCTATGTCAACAACGTGAAAAGGATTCTCCCGAAACGGCACGATGGTATGACTTCGTGTCGAACGTCAACAGGAGGCGGAATGATTCACGATATGAGGTAATACTTACTTTGAGGAATGTGCTTCCTCTCTTTAGTTAGTTCTCCTTAGTCAGGTGGTTCTTCTGACCTCATTTTTCCTGAAAGTTTGTGGAGATCACAATATAGCTCTATATGTTTCACAGCAAAGGCAGCGTTCATAATAATTAAGCCTAGTTGTAACAATGTCAACCCTTAAAATTGGTCTCAATTAAAACCCCGTAATTTTCCCTTTTACGGCTTTTCGATAAGGGAACCTCAGAAGATTTCTATCTCCTACAAAGTCGTACCCTTTAATTTCAATTAAATTTCAGAAGGAATCAGGACATACTCAAGGAGAAGCGAGTGAATCGAGACCTTTCTCACCTACGAGGCACGGAATGAGCAGTTACGGCACTCAAAAAACAGCAAACTCTCACTCCTCGATAAGACCAACTGGTTACACCTTCAAAGAACTGTCCCCGTCTACTTATAAGTCCAAAGCAACGTCATCGTCGTCAGCGTATATGGTATCAGATGAGACTTTTGATGAGAAGAGTGGAAGTCCAATGTCACCGACATTCCTGACAGGACCGACTTCAGCTAAACTCAGCAGTACTGTCACATTAACGACGGAGTCTACGACGACGTAAGTGTAAAATGGTTCTTTCAGAAAATTTTAAGGGAGAAACTGGGATAACATTTTGTACCCGGAAAGCAGGTATGAGTAGGTGCTTGTTCGAAACCTCAAAGTCCTTCGGGAAGAAAAGCCCTTTGACAGTTCTGAAAGCCGTTACAAGGGGCACCAGTAATTTTTGGGAACTATTAAAGTGAGAGAAAAGAAAAGCCTTACAGTTCTCCTTCAAAGTATATTTTTTTTTTGCTGATGCTGATTTCGAATTTTCCAGGCCACTGTTCACGACACCACGTCAACGTCGGAAGTACTCACGGGATAACCATCCAAATGAGGTACGTGAACTTAATATTAGAGAATCATTGAAATCTAACAGTTCGAAGGCTACCAATTAATAGTTAAGGATCCAAGTATCTTCCGTGCTTCAAGGATTTGGAAAGATGGGAACCACTACTATCTATCCCTTAAACTTTGTTTCAGAGTTTCTAGCACTCCTTGAACTGATTCGAGGGCAGATAGAGGCCATTGACTATTT